TCAAACCCCTGACTAGGCCAGCCCGCCTCCTGCTGGGCCCCACCTCCAAGCTCAGGAGTTGAAGGCCAGCTTCCCTCAAGGGGCAGGAGATGCCCCAAGGGTAGGGTGTCTTTCAGCAGCCTGGGCAGAGTCTCCTGGCCTAGGGACAAGGACAGGGAGAGGCAGGGACAGACTGTGGGGCATGGTTTCTACATGGGAGCACGGGAGGGTGGGGGGGGTGGGGGGGACAACGGACCCGACGCCTGTCTGGGTGGAGGTAGGAGGGTTTTAGGGACAGAAGGCAAGCCCTGAATGGCTCCGTTCCCACCCGTCCTGGGACACATAGATCCCCTGAGATTTGAAGTCTGGCTCCACCGCTCACTGCGAACGCCGGTTGTTCATAACGAAACCCGCGAGGGAGCCGGCGGCCTTCCTCCTCCTCTGCCCAGGCCAGCTCCGCCAGGCCGCCAGCATCGCCCAGAGACCCCGACGCGGCGAGCGGCTGCAGGCCCCGGCGCCTCGGCTCCCGGTGGCAGCCCGCCCGCCTGACGCGGCTCCCAGCGCCCCTAGGAGTGGGGATGGGTGGCCGTAAGCCTATCGGAGCTGGTCCGATTTGGGGGCTGGCACCCAAGGGCGGGAGCCTCGGGGGACCGGGTCGAGGGCGGCAGACTCCAGGAAAGGTGCGAGAGGCCGCGCCGCGCGCCCCGCCGCCCCTGCGTCCTCTCTCTGGCCTCAGCCCGCAGCCATTTCTTGCCACTGGTGAACAATAGGCCTTGCTGGCAGCTGGCAGCCAGGCTGCCGGGTCCGGGCCTCTGAGGGGGTTGGGGAGTTCCCCGAGCGGCAGCGGAGGGCTGAGCTCAGCCAGCCTGCTGCCAGAGGGGCCCCCAGCGCGTGCGCAGGGCACGGCCGGCCAGTGGCAGACAGTCCCTGGAGGCTGGACGGCTGGCATTGGAGATTCGCCTCCCTCCGACCTGGGAGCTTTGTTAAAGCCCCCCAGCCCCCGAACCCACCCCCCAGAGATGCTGCAGGAGCCCCAGATGGGGAGCTTCCGCCCGAGGCCACCCTGGCTCGTTAGTGTGCTACTCAGCCAACTGCAGGCCAAGAGGGTAGAACTCAAACGGAATTCACTGCCACTGAGTTGATTCCGACCATACAGGGCAGAGCAGAAAGCCTCCCCGTTCTGTCGTGCTGCTGGTGGTTTTGAACTGCTGGCTGTGAAACCACCAGGGCTGGCCAGAGGGCACAGCTCCCTCTTAGAACAAGGCACACTGGACATATAGGACCTTGTTCCTGAATCCCTGGCCGTGGCTGCACCAGGAGGATTCCACACTGCTATGAGATGGAGTAAGGTTCTGGGCGGTGCCAGCAGTTTGCACTGAAGATCGCAGCTTGAACCCCATCCCATCGTGCTGCGGAAGAAAGGCCAGGCGATCTGCGTTCATAAAGATCACGGGCACTAAAACCCAACAGAGTGGTCCTACTCTGCCACACTAGGGTTGCCAGGAGTCAGTCCCAGCAACAGTGTTGGTTTTTGTTTTGTTTTGAAGGAGACCAGGGGTGAAGTAAGTGATTCATCCAAGGTCCAGAAAAACTCCCAACTCCAAACTCATTGACATCAAGTAGATTCTGACTCACAGTGACCCTATCATAGTAGAACTGAGTAGAACTTCTTTGGATGTTCAGGGCTGTAGATCATCACAGGAGCAGACAGCCTCATTTTTTACTGTGGAGCCAGCTGGTAGGTTTAAACTGCTGACCTTGTTGGGTTAGCAACCCAACTACTCATCCACGATGCCACCAGGGCCTCTTTCGTCCAAGGTCAGGCAGCAGATAAGCACAGCAGCTTGGAGTAGAACACTGTCTCCTGACCTTGTCAGCCTTCGGGTGTCAGCTATGGATTAAAGTCAGAGACCCGACTAAACGCCAGTCCTGGCACCTACCAGTTATGGGACGTTGCTTAACCTCTCTGAGCCCGGGGTCCCTCCTCTGTTGGTACAGTAAACCTCTAGAGCTAGTATAAGCTGGACCAACCATGAGGTCATGCACTCAGGCACGCAGCAGCATCTGACACACGTGGTGTTAAATGGGGACTCAGCCCATTCAGTCCATGGTTCTTTCCAAAGGGCCACTAAAAGCAGACTAAGGAGGCAGTAGAGACATGGAATCTTAGGCTGCCGTGAAAACTCAGAGAACAGTGTCCTCAGTGAAGGAATTCCTGGCCACTGTGACTATCTGAAGAAGGTGGCGGCCTCAGGATTAGAAGGCGGCTTTATGAACTTTCGATACGCAGATGACACGACTTTGCTTGCCGAGAGTGAGGAGGACTTGAAGCACTTGCTGAGGAAGATCAAGTGTTGCAGCCTCCGTATGGGTTCCAACTCAGTGGAAAGAAGATCAAAATCCTCACCACTGAAGGTTGTCAAGGATTTTGTCTTGCTTGGATCCACAATCAATGCTCATGGAAGCAGCAGTCAAGAGATCAAAGGAAACATTGCAATGGGTGAATCTGCTTGGCAGGACCTCCTTAGAAACTGTTGAAAGGCGAGGATGTTACTTTGAGGAGTAAGGTGAGCCTGACCCAAAGCATAGCATTTTCAAGAGCATCCTAAGCAAGTGAGAGTTGGACATTGAAACAAGGACGTCCAAAGAAAAATCGACCCATTTGACCTATGGTGTTGGCGAAAAATACTGAAAGTACCATGGACTGTCAAAAGGACAAACCAACCTGTCCTGGACAGCGTACAATGCCAGAATGCTCCTTAGAGTAAGATGACCAGACATCCGATTTTTAACAATTTTTCCCACATCCCACAGCGTTTTTTAAAAGTCCCGATTTTTGGAAAGAATAATGCACAAGCTAGGGTATATGGTTTTCGGCTGCCATGTGGCTATTTCGCCAGGATAGGAGTTTTATCAATGGTGTCCTGCTTAACTAATGTTAAAATCTGGTCACTTTACCTTAGAGGCAAGGTTGGCAAGACTTTGACTCATGTACTTAGGACATGTCAGGGAGGCGACTCCCTGGAGAAGGACATCAGGCTTGGTAGAGGGGCAGTGAGAAAGTAAGGCCCCTGACAAGTTGAACTCGTTGACAAATGGCTGCAACCACGGGCTCACACACAAAAACAATTATGAGGCCCGGCCTGGGTGTCATTTCATTCTGCTGTACGTAGATAGGTTGCCATGTGGCGGAACTGGCTTGATGGCACCTATCCCCATCCAGCCAAGCATGGCGTCAGGAAGTGGGGATTCCCCATGTGCCTGCAGCTTCCAGGGGCCCGGCATTGCTAAGGACTGACCTAACCCACCACACTGAGGACAGCCTTGGGCTATGGCCCCGGTCCCGGTGCGGCCTGCTGTAGCTAAGACTTGTTAGAGGTACTCTCAGAGTTTTACGTGGGCCAGGTCATGAGGCGAGCTCAGTGAGGCCGGGGCAGCAGTGTGTGCTGGCCACCGGAGGGAGTCAGGGTGACCAAGGCAGGGCATGAGCCAGGCACAGTGGAGGTGGAGCCCAGTGCTTCTCTTCCTGCACAGGAAGGTGCACTACTGGCCTTCCTCCCTATCGAAATCAACCAATGTCTTGAGCGCCTTTGTGCCAGGCATGGTTCCAGGGGCAAAGAGCAGATGTTTCCGCCTATCACTCGCACCTGTAGTGCAGTTAACCCTCTCCCCAAAGCATTTGGGAGCTTGTCCTTGCAAGTACAAGGAAGTTGAGCAATTCGCTCATTACACCACTAATTAATAGCACATGTGCTTAATTCCAAATACAAACCTCTCTCCTGAGCAGCAGAATCTCATTTCTAGTTGCCTAATGAGTGTCTCCCCGGGACAGCGGCAGAGAGCCCCCACGTGCTCGGACGGACTGTATACAACCCCGGCTCCCTGTGTCTTCCACATAAAGCCCCCAGCCCTGCTGCAGCTGCTCTGGTGGCCCGATTGACTGGACCAATTCATGCCCAGGTGCGGCTGGACCCCCAGGACTCCACTTGGAGGACCAGCTGCCAGGAGGGAGCATGGGTTCTCTGCCTCCCAGGAGACAGATGGGAGGAGTGAGGGTCTGGACTGGAGGAATCAGGGGGTCTCAGGGAAGGTGAAACTCTGTCCTTTAGGGCTGCTCTGAGTCCGAATGGACTTGGCAGGGCACAGCAACAACAGTCCAAGGTCAGGAAGAGGACTCCAGGGGAACCCTGGATGTTTTCGCTCAATGAGGACAGGCAGTACAGAAATGGAGCCAGGGAAGCAGACGCAATGATCTGGGTTGGAGGAGCCATGGTGGAGAGAAGGGCTCAGTCAAAGGAGGGAACCTAGGAGTAACTCTGCTCGGATAGCCTCCACCTCAGGAGAAAGGCCATGCGGCCAGGGAGCGACCTGCAGGAGGCTCAGCTCCCTTGAGGCAACCCGACTGTTCTGAATGTACTAAGATGGCCAGTCCGGGTGGGTGGTGGAACCCACGCACTCAGGCACCGGACAGCATGCCAAGGCCAACTGCTGCCGGCGAGCGAGCTGGTTCCGACTCAGAGGGACCCCATATGAAGGGCAGGATTGTTCCCCTGGGTTTCCGAGGCTGTACATCGTTAGGGGAGCAGATAGTCTGGTGTCTCTCTTTCGTAGAGTGAGTGACGGGTTCAAACCTTGGACGTCTCCATTAGCAGCCCAAGGCGTAAGTCACTGTACCACCACTGTACAGGAAGGGGAGGAGAGAGTGTTTAGAAGGTTTCAGAGGCAAGGCCGACCAAAAGGCCGAGAGGAGGGATCCAAGCGGCAGGGGAAGAGCTAGGAGAGAAAGGTGCTCTGGCCACTAAGGACACCCTCAGGCCGGGCAAGTCAACAACACTGGCTCCTGCCCAGGTCGAGGGAGCTGTTCTTGTTGCTGATGGACCCTGACACACCGTGTGATCCCCCCACAGCGTGTCTGCAGAGGTGGCTCACACTGCACTCCCCCTCCCTTGAGCTTCCCCACCAGCCAGCCCCTGCCCCCACCCCCAGCTGGTTGTGCCCCCTCAGAAGAAAGTGCGCACACACATCTTTTAACTCTTTATTGTATAATATAAAACTACAAAAGTAAGACTGCTCATGTCCATTGAATCTGACCAGTTGTTCCGATTACAGCCCAAACCTACATGTGAGTACAGCCATCTGGGTTCCGATGTAACATCTGTCATATTGCATAGAAAAGGCACAGTTCTCAGGTCTGGGGGCGAGGGAGAGAAGGTTACACCTCAGTTTTGACCAGGAAACAAAGACCCCCCAAAAACAAAAACACCCTCCTCAAAAACCATGCACCAAACATGTCACTATTTACAGCTTTTCCAAAATCATGGTGGTTTGCATGTACAGGCTGCACTTCTCCTCTGAACTTATCCCTAAAAGGAGCCAACAGATTCTACTGGCTTGGTCTGCAATAGCGTTTGATCGTGGCTAATCTTCAGGACCCATTTGCACTCATTCTGAGAAGCACTGGTGGCGAGTACACACACACACACACACACACACACACACACACACACACACACACACACACGAGTCTCCTGCGGTGGCACACAGCAGTCACAGCGCGTCCACCATGGCAGCGGAGGACAGGCCAGTTCTCAGGAACGGAAACAGGTCCAATTTGTAACGGCAAGGTTTTGAAATTAATACAATTAATATCTAGAGAATAACAATCGCCGCACGGTCTTTTTTTTTTTTTAACACCTGTCATTTAAGAAGGCTGCCCTGTGGAATTCATAATTCATTATTTACCACAAAGGTGGCTGATAAATTTAAGCTTTAAAAATGATCCGTAAGTTGATACGTTGGCTCTTTGGAGTTTTATTTATTTAAGAAATTTTCCTTGATTGACCTCAGGGCAGTGGGGGCGCTCCAGGGGCGATGGCGAGAGAGAGCTCGATTGATCAAGACACTCAGGCGTGGCAAGGCGCTGCTGTCCCTCGCCCTTTGGTATGCATGGTGTCAGTGGGGTGGCCCCTTCTGTCAGAGAGAGAGAGTGTGCTACTAAAAAAACTCTAAAAAATGTCAACCTTTTGATGCTTGATTTTCTTAAAAATTTGGAGGTATTAAAACATTCTTTATCCATAGCTTTTTGCATATTTTCAAATAGACCCACAGTAGAGAAGAGAGTAAGAGTGAACGTGGACTGTGCATATGGTGAGAAGACCCGGGGGCTCTGGCTCGGACACCCCCCCCCCAAAATAATACAAATTGACATTCCTACAAGAGAATACATTCCTACCATACATTCTGCACATGTTACGATCCAGATGTCATTAGAGCTCCACAGTACAATAAATATATTTACACGGGGTGGGGGGGAGGAATAAATAACTTATGGAGGGGGAAAAATCACTTCAAAATTCAAAGCTCTTATGATTCTGCTCTCATCTTGTCACTTCATTGCACATCACTGTCAGTCCTCGCCACCCCCCCACCCCCAGCCCGGGTGCTCGTCTTTCTTACAAAGGCACCTCAGGCTGCCTGCTCAGCGGCGGGCAGCCCAGGGCCACGTGACACCCCTCACAAGGCTGAAGGCACTGCTACAGAGTGGGGGCTGGAAGCACGTCGCACAGCACAACAGGGACTTGGGAGACCACACTTGGGGGCAGGCCCAAGCCTCTCTCTGCAAAGACAAGACACCGGGAGAGTGGGACCACTCGCTAGCGTTGCTCTGTGAGAAAGGGGGCCTGCTTGCCTTCCAGGTCTACCTCTGGAGACTCCGAAGAGCACGACTTTGCAGCCGGCCGGGGTTTCGTGCAGAAAGCACTGGCCTGCTGTCGTCGGGGTGTTTGTTTAGATTCGGCAGCCCAGCCTTATGAGAGAGCTGGAGAAGCACTTTTTAGGCAACACTTCTCTGCGCTTATGTGAAATGTTGCCCAACATATGGGATTTGTTTAAACACATGGTTTGCTAATCCAATGAAAGTACAGTTGGTCTAAGTTACTGTAAATCAGTTTCTAACAATGACAAATCAATACTACTGTAGATGTGTGCGGCCTGTAGGAGCTCCGGTTATCAAACTCCTGGGGCCCGGGCCGACTCGTTCTCCACAGGGAGGCGCTCCAAGCTGCCCAGCACAGGGACCCTGGGAACCTCTGTGATCATCGGCAGCCCCTGAGCTTCGTGGTGGTCCCCTAGGTGACCCCGACCCGCCTATGGCGGCGACAGAGGTGTCTGCAGCACCGAGGCTCCTTGTAGGAGAACAAGTTGCGGTTTGATCAGTTTCTCGCAGCTCTACTGAGCTGATAATTAGCCTTTAAGACATACTCATGTGGGGGGTGGGGGGAAAGGTAAATTAGAATGTAGAAAGATTTAATTATATCATACACAAATCTTTTGCTTAGACAAGCAGTTCCTTCATCACAAATGTACTTGCTTTGCCATGTGCATTATAAAAATAAATCTATCTATGGCTTGTTTAAAGTGCCATTTTATAAAGTTGTCTTTTTTTTTTTTTCTCCTTTTCTTTTTAAACTGGCCAGAAAGGCCCCATTTTATCCATGGCAAGAAGTGAGCAGAATTGGTGACTGAATATTGACAAATGACACAACAACAAAAGCAACAACAACAAAAAAACAAAAATCCCATAATTTAAAAAAATTTTAAATAAATATAAAAGTTATTCCTAAAGAAGCCATCTGCATTGCAACAATATAGGTTGTAACCTGCATTTCAACAGCTAAAGTACCATTGCAAGAAACAACAACAGCAAAAACCCGAAATGGAAAGGTCCTAAACGATTTCGGCAACAAGCATGATACATTGCAAACGTTTTAAAATTAAGTGAACAACAGTCGGGATAAAGAACGACTTCTCACGTGTCCTGGGGCCGGGGAGAAGGAACATGCGTAGAAAGTCTCATCTGTGTATTTGGGTAAAACAGCCTTGTAGTAAAGTGTGAAGTAGTTAAAGCAGTTGATTCAAGAAAGCAACCCGATTGGATGCCAGGATGCAGTCAGATGACAAGCTCCGGATGTCACAGGGGAGCATGGTCTGGGCTGGCCGAGGTGAGCTGGGCCCATGGTGGTGGGGTGGGCATGCCATTCACTGGCAGCACTTAGCAACCGAGGGAACAAAGGCTCTCCAGGCGAGGAAGACAATTCAGCAACATGATGGATGCCTTCTGGGGGAGGTTTGTTTCTTACAAGCCAGAAGCCCTGCAACAAGGTTCTGACTTCCACGAAGAAGAAGAAGAGAGGTGGGTGGTTTGTTTTTTTTAAATAAAGTTTTGTTCAGATGTGAAATTTCCAATCATAATAAAAATTACACCACAAAGATTTGGGTTTGATTTAGGCAAACAAACAAACAAAAACGATTAACAGCACAAACGTGGCACACACACACACACCCCTAGCTGCCCCACTACCTCCGGCAGGGCCCTCCCTCTCGGCCAACTGCCTGATGCAAGTTTGATGGGCAGCCAGCTCAGGCCCTGGGAATCACAGTCCTGGCAGGTGTCGGTGCCAGGGGGTCTGTGGTGGCGACGCTTGGGTGTGATATCACCTGGCCCTTTCTTAAAGTGTGTGTGTGTGTTTGGGGTTATCAACTGCGGGTTGATTTGATCCAATTTTCTCTTTGCACCATACACATATAAAATGTTACAACTCTATAAAAGTACAAGTGCAACTTGTACATCTGAAGTTTGCAGGAACTATGTGAGCAAATCCTATCAAAATAGCTATTTTGTATGTATAAACAGCACTTATTTTTAGAAAAACAATATCATAAACTGCAGAATCTGTACAAAAATATAAAATAAATTTGGGCAGCAGTTTCTAAACAGCCATGTAAATGCAACACTTACGAGTAGTTAATGCCTCTAAAAAGGCAGAATTGCCAAGTCAACCTATACAGGGCAAAAATGCCAGAAAAGGTACTGAGATTATCTAAATAATATATATATATATATGTATGTATGTATATATATATATACTCTTTTTTTAACCTCTTGCAATAAAACTTATAGAAAAAATAGACCGATATGCACATGCAATGTACAGCTTTTCCCAACTTAACCCTTGTGCTTCCCTTGGACCGTGTGAGTCGTTCTCCTCCAGCACTGTCTGCCTCGGCCTCTCCAGTACCAGGCAGCGGGTCTCTGGGGAACCACTCCAGAAAGCATATGACAAGTGGTCGTACTTGGATGAAGGCACTCCAACTCTGCTCACAGCAAAAACTAGTGTGACCCTTTTTTTGTAAAATTGTCTTTTTCTCTGGAGAAAAAAAAAACAAAAACAAAAGGCAAGCCGGGGTGCATGCACAGTGCGGAGAGTTACAGGGGCGCTGGGGGGCGGAGGGAGCTCGTGGGGTCCGGGTGGGCACGCCGGCCGGGCCCCTCCCTGGATCTTAGGACCCGACAAGCACCTCCATGATGTGATCCAGTTCTGTGAGGTCCATTTTGAAAGGCTGGCTCGGGGCGACGGGCTGACTGCTGTAAGGGGCCAGGGTCTTGAGGAGGTCGTCGGCTGACACGGGGGCCATTTTTGAGGCTGTCCCCGACGAGGACGTGCAGGGGTCAAAATCATACATGGACGTGTCAATGTCAGCAAACAGGATGTCATCCAGGGTCAAGTCTGTCAGAAAACCCGTGGATGTGGTGATTTCAAAGTTGCCGGGCAGAGAGTCCATCAGCTTGGGGTCGTCCGGCCGGCCTTCGGGGAGCCCCCCGTGTTTCGGGGCACCGAGCGTGCCAGGGCTCCCCTTGGAGTAGTCGGCGGCGGCGGCGGCCTCCGTGGAGGTAGATGTGGGGCAGAGCTCCTCGATCTCGTCCAGGGCCGAGGAGAAGCTGTCCTTTTCCAGCACGGGAGCTGGAGGCGCGAGTTTGGTGGGCACCGCAGGCGGCACTGCTTGGGGGGGGCCAAAAGCGTCATCTTCGACCTCGAGCAGGGAGGCCGGCGTGAGGCAGGCCTCCAGGGGTGTCGTGCTGCCCAGGTCGCAGGGGTGGGCGGGCAGGGGCGTGGGGTGGCTGAAGGCAGGTGGGGCCTCTCGGTAGGTGTCGCTCAGCGGGTCGCTTGGCTGAGGAGAGGCGGCGAGCACAGGCCTCAGGCTGCCTTCCTGCTTCAGTTCCTCCTGGATCCGCCTCAACATGTTGTTAATTAAAACAGTCTTCTGCAAGCTCGGCTCCGTCAGGGGCCGGTGGCTATAGAGTTTCATAAGGGAAATGTTGAAGATAGTCTGGCGCTGTAAGGTGTAGGACACCTTCGAAGGACCATCAGAGGGAGACAGCACTTTGCCTTCCAGCCCATCTTCATGCTCATCAAGCTTCCGCTTTGCTCCTTTACCCAACATATATCTGTGAAGGAGAGAGGGAGGGAGGGTTAGTCACACCCAAACCAAGGGCCGCGATGAATGAAAAGGGGAGCTTATTTGGGGGTGGAGGACTGGGGACTCCAGGCTCCTCCTTATCAGCGGCCCATTTGGATCAGACGAACTCACGAGGAGGGATGACACCTTTGGAGCGAGAGAGAACCCTGGGCACCCCCCCCACCCCTTCCTCGGCCCGTGGAGCAATTGTGATCACTAGGTAGAGTCTGGTAAATGTTTCTTGAGAAATGTGTACGACGCAGACAAGTTAAGAGTTGCCATGGAAACGGTGGTTTTCACTTTCTCAGCTCATGTGCTTTGCGTTCGCATGCCTAACATTAACATGCAGGTTCCACTTCCCTCCCCCAAATAAATGTATTTTTAAAGCCGGGGAGCACACTGACAATGCTGTGACCAATGCAAGTGTCATGGACACAAGCGAGCCACAGTGTGGACGGTACAGAGCACTTCGTGAAGC